TTCAAATAGTGTGTGTGTGTGTGTGTGTGTGTGTGTGTGTGTGTGTGTGTGTGAGAGAGAGAGAGAGAGAGAGAGAGAGAGAGATTGAGAGAGAGAGACTGACCTGCTGGCTGGCAGCTTCTTTGTCGACTGGCGGTGGCTGGCTGCAGCTCCTGGCGGTTGCTGCTCTCGGCGATGGCTGCAGGCACGGACTTCAGCAGATGCGAGAAGGGCGTGGGCCGCTCTGGCAACTGGCAGCAGCGGCGGGTGGGATTTTCGAAAACGGCAACTTCGAATATGCCTCGCCAACCACCTGTGACCCCACCTCAGTCACCTGTGTCCGGTTGTCGGACCCCTGTCCGGTAGGCCGAAACGAACCCAAAAATCCGGCCCCGAACTTTTCAGGGGGCGCCCAGGTCTCGAAAAATGTCCTGGGCAGCCCCTTTTTTTTTTGATTTTTTCAATGGGGACCTGTTTCCGGATATTCAGGACCGGACACCGGAGCCCAACATCTGGCTCCAGACTGTCTGGAACCCGGTCCGGTCATCTGGTCAGTTACCATGATTCGGCCTATTAATGCGCGTTTTCAGAGTCGGAGGTGGGGTGAATTCCGTGGACAGATGATAGTATATGGCTTATGAACAGTGGAACGAAAAAGAGGGTCCTTGTAGGTCTGATACAGTACTGCTGATCAATCACAGGATGATTTGAACTGGCATGTTAAATGTGCACGTGCACTGTGATGAAGATTTCATGAATGGGTGGGAAGGATGAACTTTGTACGCATGAAGCGTTAAAGGATCAGTACATAGGAGCCTCTTCTTCACCGTGGCAGACTCGCTGTCCCTAAAGTGCTTTCCCAGGCCACATTTAGACTGCACTGCCATCTTGTCCTTCGGGACATCCGTTAAAATTGGAACGATACCGAGAAGAGTAGTGCGAACCCTGCGTAAGGATGACACGCATAAATAGAGAAATGTTCCTTTTTTTTTTTCTTTTTTTTTTAAGACTGAACCATACTTGCAAGCGCATGTCGTGCGGGTGGCTCCCTATGTGCGGCGCACACGCCCAACCGATCCGGTGCGGTGCACGACATGTGCGGGGAACGACCCATCACCCCCTCAGAAAAGAAAAGGCTGGGGTCGAAACGGTGCGTTTGAGGGCCCCCGCCAATATTATAAGTGAGATGATAAAACAATTACAGGAGTACTGCCTCACCTTGCTCCTCCTTCCCTTCCTCATCCTCCATGTCTCCTCCCTTCTCCTTTTCATCTCCTCCGACCTGTCTTCCTCCTTTTCGTCCTCCTCCTGCCCTTCCTCATCCTCCTGGTCTCCTCCTCCTCCTCGTACTTTTTCATCTTCCTGCCTCCTCGTCTCCTTCCCTTCCTCGTATCCTCCCCTTCCTCGTGTCCCCCCCTTCCTCGCCTTCCATGTCTCCTCCTCCTCCTCCTGCCCTTCCTCTTTTCCCTCTGTCCATCTCTTCTCCTCCACCATCTCGACTCCTCCTCCACCATCTCGACTCCTCCTCCTTGTGGTCCTCGTTATCATCGTTGTCCTCCTCGTCCATATCCTCCTCCTCTCCATATCCCTCTCTCCTCGCCGTATCCCCATCTTCCTGTCATACGCCCCCCCGTTCCCCCTCCTGAAAACATATAAAATAATAATAATATAAATAAAAAACCTGCACGATTCCGCACAGGCACCCCCGCCGGGGAACTCCGCACGAATGTGCGGCTTGTGCGGTTGCAAGTACGGACTGTGCTGTTATCTTTGTTGGAACTCCTCTCTGATTTGGGAATAACGTCTTCTCTCTGAATTGTGCTCATGGTGTGTTATCTGCTCCTCCCTAAACTTTGCTAACCTCTGCGTGGCGGAATTGAATTCTTGAAGTGGGCTTCCTTCTCTGTGCATCTTGGCTTGGCTCTGGCATTGGTTGCCTGTGTTTCTGATGACTATCCTGTGCTGGTTTCTGGTTGCGTTTCTTTTTCGGTGTTTCCCCTTCTTCTTCTTTTTGTCTGCAGATGATTGTGCTCACGGTCTACTTATTTCTTTACGGCAGAATCTATATGGTGAGTTTCTCTTTCCAGTTAGTTGCCAGGGCCATGCGCTTGCCCTTCTGCATGTCGACTTTTTTAGTACACCTGACTAATTTTTATCATCCCCAAACCTACCCTAGAAATATCAGACAGAGGAGACCTCCAATTTATGCAGTACGTGCTACATTCTGCATTCCATGGCTTTCATGTGACCACCAAAGATGAAAGGAAAAAAATTCAAAAAATCATTGTTTAACCTAGGAAGATTTGCATGACCGGCCGGTCACCCGGGCGTGACGCCGCCCGGGATACCTGGGTATGAGGAAGAGAAAATAAAAATTGGTGGTGGGGTTTTTCTGCGCTCTCCGAGAGGAGCCCAAATCCGGGCTCTTTTCTTGTTTTGAGAGTTGGCTGTCAAGGGGGGGGGGAGGGGAGTATAAATGAAATTTAAAGGGGCTAAAGGGGTTTAACGGGGGGTGCCTTAGTGTGATTTGTTTTTTGTTTTTTTTTCAGAAGTTGTTTATAGCTTTGTATTGCAATTCTACGCAACATTTTTTTTTTCCAGATTTTTTTGGAGCTTTTTTTTTTTTTTTTTTTTTTTTTTTTTGCACTGGGACTTCCCGGGCCCATGCCCGGGGGTCATCGCCGGCCAGTCACCCGGTCGCCAAACCGGGCATGACATTGCGACCCGGGTGCCCGGGATATCTCCCTAGTGTTTAACTGCTATCTTTTTTATCCCTATGTTCACGGTGCGCCGTCTCATACGATGTAGTGTCACACTCCTGTTGAAGTAGCTACCCTGGAAATATTTGGCTGAGGAGACGACAATTTATGCAGTACGTGCTACGTGCGACATTCTGCATTCCATATCAGAAGATGAAAGGAAGAAATTGTCGTGTAACTGCTAGCCTTTAAATCCCTACTTTTTTCGGTGTGCTGTCGATGTTTAACGGCTAGAGTTTTATCCCTATTTTTACGATGTGCTGTCTCATTGCAAA